TACCAGGTTAAGAAGCTGATATTTTCCACCAGCAGAAACCAGAAGAACCAAGAACCAGTTTAAGGTTCTGGACACTTCCTGCAGCCCGTCCGCTGCTGCAGCCCGTCCGCTGCTGCAGCTCGGCTCCTGCTGCAGCTCGGCTCCTGCTGGATTTTATTTAACAACAAAAACATTTTCTCCAGAACCTTCAACGGATCCGAAATGCTTCAGCCAGATAACATGATCCGATCTGCAGGTTTGATTCCTGTTAAACCGGAACGTTTCTCCCCACTGTGGCCCTGTGCTTGTTCAGGATGTCAAAACACAGAGGGAAAACAGAGCGTCTTCAGTCAGAGGCTTCTTCAGACCCGCTGTAATACAGACTGCTACAGGAGATCTTCCCACCAACAACCATCACTATCTCTTTGAAGAATCTGAATTAACGACTTACATTAAATTTCCCTTTGGGATCAAAGTAAAAATAACAAACAAAGTGAAACAAAGATAAAGTCTAAACTCAGATGTTGATCCTCAATCTGGATCCAATTAAACACAAACAGCAGCTCAGTGTGATCAGAAGGTTCTGGAAACTATTTTTATAAATTATTATTCAGTTTCCTGGTCTGAAGAGAAACAGGCCATGAATTATTTCAGCCTGAGAAGAGGTGGGAACTTTTACAGTGTAGTTAAACGGTCATAATGATTTGCTCCAGCCTCAGATCAGAGAGACGATCAGCAGGCGGCGTTCATGTCGGATCGTTCAGGAGGAGGAACCAGGCAGGGAACCGATTCCTCCGGAGGAAACAAGAAATCTGCCAGAAAATAACCCAAAACGAGACAAAAACGTTTCTCTGGTTCCTCTGAGGAAACATCACAAGTGGCAACATTACAGACATTAAATAACATTAAATAACATTAAATAACATTACAGACATTAAATAACATTAAATAACATTACAGACATTAAATAACATTAAATAACATTACAGAGCTGCTGCTGCTGCAGGGCAGAAGGTGAATATTAACAATAATCCAGATTTTCAGCCAATTCCAGCAAACGAATCTTCAGCTGCAGAATTTATGAAGTAAAAGACACAAACGCACATCGATAAAAACAATCCAACCAATAAAACCCTCCACAAAACAAAATAATTAAAAACGGCAGCAGACATGATGCAGCGCAAAAAGAAAAACCAACTGCAGTCAGAGCAAACACTCGGATCAGAACCACCAGAGTTCTGATCCGGTTCTGTTTGGTTCTATTCAGTCTGAGTCCAACGTTCCACAAACCTGGAGAAAATACTTCAGCAGTTTTCATTCTGCTGTAGAAAGTTTTAATATGTTGAATTTCAAAAGCAGCATCACAAAAACTAAATGATTGTTTCAAAAGTCCAAATTTCTGATTTCACCAAATCCAACAATCAAACATTTTGCTTCATATTTAATATTTTAACTGAAAACCTGAACTTTAAAGAAAATCCCACAGATTATTAACTTTTAAAGATTCAATAATATTTATGGAACAACAAAAACAGTTTAGAAAAGTGGCAAAAGTTTTATAAAAATAACCTGCAAGTTTCCTGGGAGTTAAATGGGAGCAAAGACAAAGTTTCCAAATATTAAGAAGTAAAATGACTCAGTTTTCAGTTTATTACTTTATTAATAACTGGTGCAATTGAAAACACAAAATTAAAAAAAATCAAGTAAGAATACATTTGCATATTATATCATAAAAACAACATATCCAAAGTGGTTCAGGACAGAATCAAAACAGCAACTTTAGTTGTTTTTTTTTTAAACTGAAATGAGAAATAAATGAAATGATGCAGAGCTCTGAAGGCCACTAGTGTAAAAATGTCCAAACATTCCTTAAATTAAACTTAATAAAAAATGTTTCAGTAAGAAGCTGCCGTCTTTTCCTCACGTAAATCTGCCTGAGAACGGATACGGCGGCTGCAGGACGTCTCTAACGCCCTCATGTGGGGACAGAGTCCCGTCGATGGCTCTAAGGTCCTCATGTGGGGACAGAGTCCCATCGATGTCTCTAACGTCCTCATGAGGGGACAGAGTCCCATCGATGTCTCTAACGTCCTCATGAGGGGACAGAGTCCTGTCGCTCTGTCCAGACGCCGCAGACAGTTTTGCGTTCGGAGTCTGACGGCCTCAGCGAGAAAAGCATGAGATAAAATCATAACTGCAAAAGGCCAAGGCACAAATAATCAGTAGCAATCAAAACGTCCAGCAACATTACAGGTTGAGTGCAGGAGGCGCCGCTCACCGTGGAAACAAACATTCATAAAACAACTTTTCTTCGAGCAGTATTGCCTTCTGAACTACATGGGTGCCATAAAGTGCTCCTTTTCAGTCACAATTATTAAACACAGAGAAACGGCGTGACTCGGATGCATGCTTATCGCGATGAGACAGTTTGATGTTTCATGGTTGTTCTTTTTAAATTATCCGTTAAAGTGGGACGGCTTTTATTCTCCTGCAAAAACAGAAAATGTGAGCAGCATGTTTTCCATCTGAACCGTGTCGGTGAGTCCAGGTGTTTCATTTTCACTCATTCATCAGCAGAACGATGCAGGTGTTGGAACCAGGAAACAAAGTTTGTTCAGACATTGTTCTGTGGAAAATGTAAAAACTCTGCAGCGTTTCCACCGCAGACTAAAAATCAATTCCAATTCTACATGTTCATCAATAAAAATTAAAGTCCAAGAAACACAGAAATGAACATTTTCCCTCATTACAAACAGAAACAATCTGTAAGGACAGAAAGCAGAGTCTGAATTTAAAACAGTAACTAAACTTGAATGAACTAGAAAACAATTCAATAGTTTAAATGGAAACTTTGAAGGGAAAATTTAAAACCAATCAATGAAATATATTGATCCAGTTCTGATGTTCAGTCAGAAAGTCACAAAATACAAAAACCAAATTACAATTAATCAGCAAAGAAACAAAGAAGAAGAAACTGAACCTGGATTCAGACATTTTTATCTTTAAATCTGTCAGGATGGAAACATTTAAAACATTTTAAAACATCATGGATGACGAGGGAAAAACTTCGCATTAAGCAAAATGAACAGAAAATATTTGATTTGAAAACATCCAAACAGAAAGAAATTACAGATTACAGATATTTTTTATAAAATATCTGCTGACCAGTTAAAATTTGGATGAAATATCATCATTGTGGCTTTTAGCCAATAGAAATAATTCAGGCATCTACCTGAGCTGAAAGTGAAGAAGTTTGATCTGATTTAAGTGAATTTAATTTGATTAAAAGTTTTTACATCATCAGAGTTCTGACAAACTTTTACTAAATGTTGGTTTGTATTAAAATACAACAGGTAGTTGCACTAAGTTATTTGGATTGATGACTTTTTGCTTGTGTTGAAGATGTTTCAGATAAACCAGATAAAATGAAAAGACAATAAATAAAATAAAAGCAAAAAAATGGACAAAAGTTTCTGACGTAATAAAATTGATTTAATTCAAGTGAGAATAAATTAAAGTGACAATTTTTCACTGCAAAAAGTAATGCCAGCATTTTCATTTGAAAGACTTTTTACTGAATATAAAATATTACTGGATGTTTTCAGTAGGTGTAATAAAGATAATTGGTATTTTATAGTTTTGGTAGCATTATTCTTTTTGCAGCTTGTTTCCCGTCATGGAAGACATTTTCTCTAATTAAAAAAATAAATTTTAACAGTGTTTTGATGTCGACTCTCATTCTTCAAGTGCGATTCACTGATGGATGCAGGTCAGTCAATTTGAAAGGAAGCCACACGTTGAATTTCAGGTGGAAGAAAAAAGTACAGCATGCATTTAAGGATGTTTTATAAACTAAAGGCAAAGATATTGTTGTGCAAAACATTTTAAAGAACAATAATGAACAAGAAAACAGCAAAACATTTAAACCAGAACAGGAAGAAAAACAGAGAAACAGTAAAAACTTTACATGTTGGTCTGAGTGTTGCAACTGAGCCGAAAACAGCAGAAACGTCTGAACCGGATTTACAGAAACCAGATTTTAAATCACGTTCATAAACTGTGAGGCGAAGCGTCCGAAACACTAAATCATGAATGACTGAATCATTCTGGACGGAGTTTGAGGCACAATGAATGAATGAATGATGAATGAATGAATCTCTACAGGGATACAGATTACTAGATTATCCTGCCTGTGCAGTGACAACTAATCCTACAAGATTTTGTTTTATATAAGTGGCTTAGAGGAACAGATTATATTTGTTGTGCAGCAGATTAAGCAGATAATCGAACGTCTTGCCCATTTCACTGGAGTCGCCTCTGACTGATGCAGCAACAGGAGTTTAAAGGAACCGTTTGAATTTCTACCACTGGGTTTGTCTGAGGTATCTATAAGAAGTCAGTATCTTATCAGTACCTTCAGTCAATTCTCTGTTACTCATCTGACTTTATAAGAGCTGCTAAATGTATCTTGGTCCAAAACTCCCATCCTAAAATAACTTAGGATGGAATAATGAATGTGAGGACTTTACCTTTGTACTCGAAAGTTTTAGATTTATGCTCTAACATGTAGCTTTGTTTTAAAGTTAGCAGAACACAACAGTAAAGTTAAATGTTATCTGTCTGCTTCATAGCTAGCTGCAACATTAGTTTGACTGTTAGCTTGGCTGTTACCATAACTTGGAAATAAAGTTGGCAGGCAGGCAGTCGATCTGACTGCAAGTCTGTTAGCCCAACTGCTAGCTTGACATATCTTGCTTGTTAGCTTGACAGCTGTGGATTTGCCATTAGCTTGACAGTTGTCTTGCTTATAGCTCAATACTGAGGTCAGTAATTAAACATTAGACTCTGCCCTGCTAATGCCCTGTTAGCATTGCATATTATTTATTAGCACATTTATAAGGCTCTAAATCAACTGTTAGCTCAACACTTAGCACCATGCTAGCTGAGGGCGACCTTGCCTATAGCTTCAGAGTAAACCGAACCATTAGCCTGAATTAAAACTGTTTTGTACTCATTTGTACTCAGAAGTAAAAATCTGAGTCCAAGTTTGAAATGAATGAGAAATCCAAATTCAGTCTGAACTGTGAAGTCAGAGGTTTTGGTGCAACAGGCAAACAGGCAAAAGTTTTCATCCTTCTGTTTATTTTTTATTAAAATCAGTCACATATCCTGCTGAATAAAATATGTTTGTCAGCATATTCTCTATTCGGTAAATGCATAAAATACAACGACATTAGCTTGTATTGCTAGTAGCAGTGAGTCTGGTCCCTGAGCACAACAAGCAAATCATAAAGGTTTTCTGACCAACAAATGGCCCGTGGTGAAGATGGGACTGTTAGCTCAACTATTAGCCTGTTAGCTTTACAGTTAGCTCATTTATTATCTTGAAAATTAGTTTGAGAGTTGGTTTTTCTGTTAGTGTGACAGCAACTATCAGCTACATTCACCACCTTCACACTAACTAATGTCCTTAACAAGTCACTGAGATCACACTGAGTCCTACCTAGTAGGTAAAAAACTGACTACTTATAGCTACTCCACACAACCCCATTAAATTCAAACTATTCCCTATAAGTTATAAAATTCTTGACTGCTGAACGAACTGAGGAAACATCTTCTTACGGCTCATTAAAAAACAGACTAACAAGTTTGAATTCAAGGAGTTCTGCTTTTCCTATTAAATCTACATTTACTTTTTAAAATATACAGAAGATCTGCAGCGCTTCAAAAATATAAAACCGTCTACACAGAGTGAGATTGTTAAATAGAGCTTATAGTAGAGTAATAAAAGCAGAGCGGAGGCTCGGTGTGGTATTATCTGCTTCTACATGCGATACCAGCTGATAAATCAAGTCTTCAAAGTTTTTCAGGTTTTACGTCACAATCTGTGATTCTACAGTAAAGTAGGAAAAGCAGTTCAGGCCTCAAAATGTTTCCAGGTCGTTCACAACATCCAGATTTCAAAATTACAAATAGAACAAGATTTAAATACAATTAAGAAACTTTAAGTATATATAAATGTCTTATTGCAAAGTAGGATAAATAACATTTCCTACACTAGATTTATTAAGGCCTGGTATATATTTAAATTATTTTGAACCATTTTAGAGCAATTCAAACATAACAAAGCTAAATATGCATTTATTTTAGCATATAATAAGTTTAGTGTTTAACTTTTCAAAATATATAAAAAGATTAGCAGCAGATTTAATTACTTTCTTAATAAGTACATTATTTTCATTGATAGCAAAAATAGTAAAGAATTAAGTTTTAAAACATGCACCAGCTAATCGCAGTGAAATTACAACTTTATGGTTCCACTTTAGGCAGCTGTTACAGGAGGATTCATTTCACTTTTTACAATTTAATGACTTGATTATTTATTATAGAAACCTGAAAGCGAAGCATTGCTTTTCCTACGTTGCATTACGTTGTGTTGCTCTGTCATAAAATCCCAGTAAACTTTAGTCAAAATGTTCTAAAATTAATATTTTTGTCTTTAGCAAGAAAAACCTCAGAGTTCAAAACGGCAACATTAACATCGACTAATGTAGAAAACTTTTAAAAACCCTCAGATTTCACTTTTTAAAGCTGTTTACGACTCAGAAATAGGTTTATGGAGCAACACTTTCCTGTAAATCAAGCATAAACTGAGACAAGAATAAATTATTCAGACAATCCAAAATAAATCAGAATTGATTATATTTCTCTGTTTGGGTCATTTTAGGGAAAGTCTTGAATAAATCTCAGCTGAGAAACTTGAAAATGCTACATTGACGTTTATAAAGAGCAGGTTCTGAGTTTTTTATTTCAAATTTATTTTCACATTATGAAGTTTTCTGATCCTTCAAAATGTTGTCAGAAATCTGAGATTTACACACAGCCCCATAATTTAAATGTTAAAACATGTTTTATAAATGTTTTTGTTTACTTCCCAAAGTTTCTTACGAAGCGTTTCACAGCCTCTGAAGCTTCAGGTTTTCCTGGGTTCTGGTCCAGTAGGAACCTGGTGGTTCTTGGAGCTTTTCTACATGTTATAAGTTCATATCCGTCTCCAGCCACTTTACCTTCATGACTTTCTGCTCTGTTCTGCACTGAGAAACTTGTCACACATTTTAACCTAATTAATCTCATTTTTTGTCCATACAAAGGTTTGCATGTTTCTGGTCTGTAAATCTGATGCAGAAGCTGCAACCGCTAACAGCAGCGATGGACGACGAAGCCGCTCCTCTCGGCCCTCTGGGGTCATTTCTGTATAAATGACCTGATTGGATGCTAGAAAAAACTGTTGTTGTGTTCAAGTTGTGCTAAAAGGAGTTAGCATATCAGGGAAGCTATGCTAGCCTAAAATAGCATCTCAATGCTAAACATGTAGCAGCTAATGCTAATGTTAGCGTCCACAGTCCTGGACAGAATAAAATTTTGATCCAATCAGATGGTTTAAGAAACTAAATAACAGATTAAAAACTATAATATCTTAGTTGTTGAGCTCATGTTTCTATTTATTAAATAATTTAGCAGCAAAAATTGGTTTTCAAGAGAATTTGTTGCTTATTCTGTCAATATACGGTTTTAAATTAAACAATTAATTAATTACAGACTCTGTAATTAACTCAGTTAAGCTTTAATCGAGTCCCATCGCTGCCGTCCATGGAGCTGAATTATCACCAGAGTTTGAGCGAATCAGTGAAAACGTACAAACCTGTTATGGTTAAACTTTTACATTTACTGCAACTTTACAAAATAGTTCAATAACATGGTTTCACTTTGTCATTATAACTGTTTTATGGGGATTTTTATTTTTAAGAATACCACACTAAATCTGGGTAAACATGGGAAAAGCAAAGGGGCGTAAATACTTTGTGTCTTTTTACATATTGACCAACATTATGTTGCCTGTGTTTCATGAGATGAGAGACGGTTCATATCCCTGAATTCATGTGCCAGCAAAGCATCAGAATTTAGTGTTTCAAATATTTTCTGACTGTAAGTTAGTAAATCTGAGATGATTCCAGCGAAAACAAAACGACATGAAAGTAAGAAGTTTGGATCAAACATGGAGACAGACGGTTGGTGAGGAACAAGAACAGACAGGAGACTTTTGGTTCCAGTGTCGCCCCCTAATGGTCACCCCAGGAATGGTGCAGCATCATGCAAACCATGCAGAAACAAGGATGTCTTCATATAAAAAATAAGTGTTACAAAATGGCATAGCAGGTATATGTTCCATTCAATCTCTGTTCTTTTTCCTGATAAATCCTGAAATTTGCAGTGTCTACACTAAAAGTCACATGCGTCACATGCAGTGCGGTTGGCTTTGCAGCAGTAAAGCTTTTGGTGTATATATTACGTATAATGTTCTTTTTTAGCTAAATTTTCGTGAAGAGTGCGCTGTACAGAGTTTTTCTTTACAAACGGTCTGCTTTCCCTTTTTTTGTTTTGCCGTTGGGGCGGACTCGTTGCCGGACTCCGTCTGGACCGCGGTGGTCTCTGCAGGTCGACGGCGGGTCGTTCAGAACGCGCAGCAACGAGGCGGATTAGATCCACCTTCGGCCCAAAGGTGTGGCTTTGACCCAGCGTTCTGGGTTTTACAGGCATGGGTTGGTTTTAAGGTCTCAGAGCCGAGGCGACGTCGTGTTTCAGGGCGGCGTGTTCCACTCTGCGTCCCCGAACCCCTCGCCGGTGGAGGAGAGGGGCAGGGCGCCCCCGCTGGGCGTGAAGGGGTCCGTGTCCGTGTCCGTCTCGCCCTCGGCCAAGTAGCTCGGCCTGGTTCTCGTCCAGCTGGCCTCCCCGGCCGCCACCGCCGCCCCCATCGACAGGTCCAACCCCGCCTCGCCCTCCCGCTCCCCGGAGATGCTGAACCCGCTGGGCGAGCGCTCCAGCTCCTCGTGGTTCACCGACAGGAGCGAGAGCGGCGAGTCGCCCCCCCGGCCCCCTGTGGTCCTGCCCCGCCCTGCCGACAGGTCCTGCAGGGAGCTGATGGGCAACACGGTCGGCCGCTCCGTATACGTGGGGATGGCGCCGCCTGCCAACCTGACGCCCTGCCTGCCGCCTCGCCCTCTGCTGCAGGTCGAATTGGCTTTGCTGACAGGCACCTGGTATGACATCTGAGGGAACACCTCGGAGTAGTTGAGGAAAACCCGGCGGATCTCACCGTTCGCCGTCTGGTCGCAGGCCTCCACGGTCATCCGGGCGTCGCCGGCCGAATCCACCTGCAGGTGCTCGGTGTGCTGGATGTGCATGTCCACCAGGAAGTCCAGCTTCTTCTCCATGTCCTCCACCTGAGACAGAGACACATCCGTCCATGAGCTCAGGAAAGTGACCCGGAACACCGAAGCTCAGAACCATGAAGGACACGGTCAGCCGCTTCTCCAGGTTCTGAACAGAAACACGTTTAATTCCTGATTCCACAGAGAAGAAATTCATGGATTTAAAGGTTTTCATAAACTTGAACTATGAATAAATTTAATTAATCAACCAATAAAAACACAACAAAATAATAGCAGCACAACAAAAACACACCAGAGTCCACAGATGGGAAGTGGGGGCATCAGACCATTATATAGTTCTTTAATTTGAACTCTCACCTGCCTCTCCACCCTGACAAATCTACCCATCATGCTTTGGTCTTCAGTGTCTGGCATGGACGTGGCTTTGGCTAAGTAGGACTCATGCCTGAAACAAAGAGAAACACGAACGTGAAGATGGTGCCGCCATTACATGCTTGGACATTAGAGATGCAGAATGGTGTCGCAGTACCTGGGTGACTGGCTGGATGGGTAGTTAAAGGGTGTTTTCTGGGGCTTCTTGCTTTTCGGGGTGAGGGGAGGTCCAGGGGCAAGAATCATGTCGATCCTTTAGAGAAGGGACACATTGAGCACGGCACAGATGAGGCATTTAGCTAGATTTACCCTCCACATCTGTGTGGTGTCTGCTCACCTTGTCTGGAGGTATTTAATTCTGCAGAGCATGTCCAGATGTCCGGCAGAGTACTGCTCAATCACATCTTTGACATCGTAAGGCCTCAGAGTTTCCTTAAACCTCTTCTTGTTCAAGAGAAATTGCATGATCCTGTGAAAGAAAGTCCAAGATCAGGATTTCAACGAGGAGCGTAGCTGCATCTGTTGAAGCTTTGCAACTTCCTGGAGTTGAATCAACTACACTGTCCAACCGAGGCAGAAGAGTCTTAAAAACCTCAGGACATCCGTCCATTGTGGGGACTGGTTTCTATCTCCAACGGTCATTGGGCACAAAGGGCTGTACACCCTGGACAGGTCAGTGATCCATCACAGGGTAATGCTAAGGGCAACTCAGTGGCCAACAAACCTAACGCTGATGTTTTACATTGCTGAGCTGCAGGATGCAGGTTCAATGTCTGCCCTGGGTTGGCAGCTTGGGGGGATGGGCCAAACCCACCAGGAGAAGATGTCAAAGAGGCATCAAACGACTAAAAACTACCAAACTTCTGGGTCTCAGAGAGAGGTCATGCCAGATGCTAGAATGTCTTTTTCTTTGGTCAAGTACATATCTCACCACCTAGTCAAAGACTGTAAGGCAGACGGAGCAGCAAATTAAACCCCTGTTGACTTTGATTGGACTGGAGGGAGCAGTAATAAAACAAGCACTCTGGATCAGTCCTGTTCTTGTATTGGTGGCATTATCCTTTCAGTCTAAACTCAGTGCCCTCAGGTGGATAATGTTCATCTTAAGGACTGCCTGGTCTCAGAGTTCAGATGAATCTGTCGGAGCTCCAACGTAGCCACTCTCTGTGCACAACCTCCAGTTTGGTTTAGTCTGGTGTTTCAGTCCTCAGGGGCCACTGCCCTGCATACTTTAGATGCGTCTCTGTGCAGGAACACCCGATTCCAATGAGTGCATGACCTCTGCATGAAGATCTACTGTTAATCATCCACCTATTGGAGTCAGGTGAGTGGCAGAAGGGCCACACCTAAAATATGCAGGGCAGCGTTCCCTGAGGACTGGGACTGAGAAACACGGGCTTAGATCCAAGTCCGGCCTGGCAAAATGCCTTTCACTGAACAGTCACCTGACAGGAGCTCCTTTCTCTAGCCGCTCATTTCAGGCGAACCGTACCCCGCCTCCTTTGCTTTAACACTTTTCCTACTTGAGTTCAACCCCGTCATCCATCAGGTCTTTGACATGCTCGTCTTTGAGACCTGTTGCCACCCACTGAGCTGTTATCTTCAGCTCTTCCCAGAGTCCTCGGCTGCTGCAGGAGCTCCGGTGTTTGGCAGAAAGTCTTGGGGGTCCTGAAACCAAAACTCTTCATGTCCGAGTTCCCCTTTCAGGGAGCCATTCAGCCGCAGCATAATGGGGAGGGAGGAAGAAGTGCTTTCACAGGGTTAATCACTCATCTCACAGGTCTTCACACTAGATTGAGTTCCTGCATTATGTCAGCTGTGTGGCCTATAGATGCTCCCGGAGGCTGTTAACATGGTTTACATCACTGATGTCGACACATCCAGCTTTGTAATGCTGAAAGATGTGTCACACTGAGCACACATGATGAACCTGAAGACCAATTACATGTGGAGCTGAGAGCAGTTTGCACTAAAACACATGAAGGCCTTTAACTTGGTCACCAAAAAGGTTTTGATAAAAATAAGCATTTTAACTGGTAACACAGTGGAACTGATATAATACTGCCTGATTATTGCAACGTGCCAAGACAGGACAGAGCGAAGAGACTGCCATCTATGGAAAATGTTGGCCTAAAACAAAGTTTCATTTCAGATCAGTAAGATAAGCATCGAGGGTTTCAGAGCTTCTGCAGGCCAGTGGCAGGAGGGAAACCTGACATGCAGGGCAGAGCATGTTGACCATCACCTCTATGAAACACAAATCCGCTGTTCATTCGATCAGGTTAAAACAGTCGGTGTTTTCTACAGACTCTGGTTGTTAAACACTTTTATGATCCGGCTTCGGGTCTTTCTGTACATGTTGTCCCTGGACATGATGGTTTCTCTCTGGATATTTCCCCTGAGAGACCAAAGACATTCCTCCGTACCACTCCATTCCTGGAGACCCTTCGGTTGTAGGCCTGTGGGAAAATGGGCGGAGCTACAACACAGTCCTTTGGTTGGGACAGGAAACGGTTTTCTTCATGTTTGTTATTGCTCTGGTATGACGCAGCGTTAGGTGTTTGGGTTTAACCCAACCCGCCCAATGAGAGTCCAACTGGTGGTGGAAACATTCTCCACTGGACATAAAGTATCGTACCAAACCAGTCCGTACCGCTCAGTGGAGACGAGGCAAAGACCTTTTCAGGTTTTCTCTCTAGACTTTGGATGATGTTTTAACAGATTCAAGCTCAAAGTTCAGGATCACTGGAAAGTGAGAAGGATTACTCCGGACCTGACTGCCCTGATGACCAGTTTCAGTGTCGGGATCATCTCCTCCAGAAGGATCTCTGGCGGGAAGCCCCGGTCCTCCAAGACTGGGTCTGCTGCAAGGCCTCCAGTATCTGGAAGACAAACAGGATGCAGTCACCAGCAGCAAACTGAGCGCTGGCGGAGTCGTCCTCCTGCGGGTGGCGCTCTGACCTTCAGAGCTCTGCCGCAGCGTGTAGGCCTTCATCCGGAAGGCGGTCCGGAAGCGTTCGCGGTTACTGAAGCCGGCAGGTTTGGGCTCCTTGGAGGGGCTCTCCTCGATGGACTCGGCGTTAACCTTCCTGACCATCCCCAATGACGGCCTGGCGTTGGAGTTGCGGACCCGTTCCAGCAAACTCACTTTCTGACTGAGGTGGAGAGGAAAGGAGCAGAGCGTCAAACCGTTAACATCGTGTGTTATGCTGACAATAATAAGCTGCTTTCTGCAGTGCAGAAACAGGAGAAACAGGTGTTGACCACAAACATACAGGCAGGACTGGCACTAAAATAATATATTCAAACATTTGTAGTAAATATTAAAGAATCGTGTAGGATTTCACCAGCTGAGGCAAAAGCTGCCAAAATATTTTCTTGTAATGTATTAACTACAACTAATTAAATCTGAAATGGACAAAAATATGAAACTTTTCCATGACATCCGACCAATCGATCAAATTTATTTATAACACTTCTCAGCAGCAAGAAAGTGTTTTACATCATAAAACACAAACAGTCACAGCTGAGAAGTCAAACATTACATTTCGTTTCCATCACCAGTGCACATCATACATGTTGGTCCATGTTCCATTTATTATGGTTTTATATGAACCTGCACTACGTCGGGATTCCTGCGTCTCAAACTGAAACATCTTTACATCCTCAGGTTCTGCATGTCAGAGCTGCACGAAGAACCCAAGGAGATTGGTCTTGTGACAATATCTGGCAGCACAAAGTCGCAGCTTTCTGGGTAAAATAAGACTCCTGTGTCCCTGAGAAGAGGCAGGGCAGTAACCGGAGCCGGCAGCGGCCCAAACGAGGCCTCTGAAACGTGGAGCGCTCTCAGCGACTTTGCTCCCACAGCGGACACAATATGAGCCTCTATGTGGCCTCAGGGCAGAAAAGGGCCGGCAGATTACAGCGCTGAGAGGCTGCAGAAAGGCAGCGCTTTAAAGGAAGAGGGAATCTTCTTTCTGAATGCTCCTCGGCGAATAAAGAGAGGAAAATGGGATGTGATTATCCCCAGATCTCTCTAAACGAGGCGACACAACAAGCCCAGATAGTCCAAGGCCCAAAGTTTTCAGCTCAGAGCTGTGGTGCTTATTTCCAACAACAAGATTAAACTTCATAGAGATAAAAGAGATCACAATAAACCGGAATGGAGAAGATCTGAAAGGATCTGCTGGCAGGAAGCAGCAAAACTCATTTTCTGTTCACATTGCAGGGAAAAGATCCCAGATTAGCACCAAACTGTTGAGAAAAGCAAAAACTCACAAAGAGCACAAAGCGCTGCCGTGGTTTCTGGATGGAGTCCAAAGCAACCAGATGAAGTCCGACCCAGATCCGTCTCTTTGTTCAGGATCATGTCTTTATAGTTCCTGTGTTCATGCAGGATTTTCCCAGCAGTGTGATAGAAAATGAAAAACATCTGATTGTTTAACGAGGAGCTGAGAGAATAAATGAAGAAATGAGACGCAGACGGAGGAACGAGATGGGTTTGGCTAACACCAAAACTCACTGATCCATTTATTGGTAATCAACCGATAATAAATACTAATTATCACGCAGGAGCAACTCAGACGAGTTCAGAACGAGAAGAAATAAGATTCAACAGTAACTCTGAACGTGTCAGAGACCAAAAGTGATTAAAAGCATTTTTTATTTTCTAATATTTTCAGAGTGATTTTGACATTTTGATGGGCTGCAGAAACTCATTACTGTCTCTGAGCTGATGAAGGGAAACCATCTTTAATTAATGAACCTGAACCGTCACTCATCATTCAGGCAGGACTAATGGGCGGACGCACTAATAAGTTCTCAAGAAATCCTCAGCTTGATGTTAAAGTCAGAATGAGCGGCCGTTCAGGATCGGCTTCTTCCCAGAGTCATTTATCCGAGTCATGGATTAATATAGGAAGCTATTTAAAGCCTGGCTGGGTGGGATATTTTAGGAAATGTTCATTATTTTCTCTCTTCAGTTGGTGGCCTAATTAAAGTCTTTACTGTAGGCACAGCTCTGTAATTTGCAGCGTCTCTGCAGGAGACCCACCTGACCATGGCCTCCAAGGTGTCCTTCCTGTCAGACAGAGAGGACAGAAAGTCAGGAAATAAACAGAAACCTGTGAGATTCAGACTGGCATTTATCTGGAAAACCTGAAAGTATTTTAAACCTGCAGCTTTAAGGGCTGGACAGCCGGAGCCTCGTACCTGAAGCAGGGAAGAGAGATGATGGTTTCATAAAATCTCCAGGTGGCAATAAGATCCTCCCTGATGGGGTTGGTGGAGTAATACCGCCAGGCCGACTGGGTTCAACACAGAACAGCTTCAGGATTCTGATGTCACACACAGAACCAGACGGACACGTTTGGGTCTGATCTCTGACCTGGATGAGTCCGGCCGCCGGGTGGCGCCGCTTCTCAAAGTGCTTCTGTCTGTGCTGCTCCTGGACCTTCAGAGCCAAACCAGAACCCAGAATCCCCTGCAGCCGGAACCAGAGCCACAGTTCAGGCTGCTGCTTCATAAGAGCATTGATAAAAATAACAGAACGGCTGATCTCATCGGTCCGAACGAGCTTTAAGATCTAATTACTGCTGCATCAGTTTTGTATTGGATTAGTTTCAGTCAATAACAGATTCATTAGCCTTGTTTTTCGCTCAGCTTTTGTTTTTATTAACTGTTGGTGTAGTTTGCTGTAAGTCCTCTCACACTGACCAGCCGTTAGTCTAACCTGCATATCTGCAGCCGAGCATCGCAGCAGCTAATGGTCATGACTCTACACTCACAGCAGGCAGAGCGAAGAAGGAAACTCCGATCAGAGCGAAGGTGCCGGCCAACAGCCTCCCAGCCCAGGTCTTCGGGGTTTTGTCTCCGTATCCGATGGTGGTCAGCGTGATCTGCAGGAGAGAAACATCAGAAACCAGAAAGGTCACAGAGCAGATCCGCAGCCGTCAGGATCGGGAAGGACGACGGATTTAATGAGGAGAAAATCAAAGCTTTATGAACCCGAGGCGTTCGTTACTGCAGAACTTCACACAGATTATTTCTACTGTGGAGAGAAACTCCGTTCAGATCATATCACAGCCGTTCCCATTTACATGTTTATAGGGGGAATCCAGATTCCTTACATGAAATGAAACCAACATCTGTGCAGTTATTTCAGCAGCGGTGAACGTACCAGCCCCCACCACAGCGCGTCGGCGTACGTGTCGAAGTCCTGCTGCTGGCTCTGCGCCGTGGGGTTCTCCTGGTCAGACACGTTGACCGAGCCGTCGTCTTTCTCCACCAGGTAGACCAGGAAGGACGCCAGGATCAGAGACAGGAAGCCGATGTACCAGGCCGTGATCAGCTCCTGTAGAAACACCAGCAGAGCCGTAAAACCTCTGGAGCTGCACCCAGGCTGCTCAGACATCACGATGGAGACGTCCTCCTTCTGCTGACGGTTTTAACCTGAGACAACTGATTAAATCCTCTCTATGCGTCTTTAGGATCCATAATGAAGCACAGAGGCAGACAGCAGAGATTAGCATGTGGATCAATAACTCAATGGCAGGATTAACTCTGAAAACATGACGTTGTTTGTGTCTTTACTTCACTTTAGGACTTTTTATTCACAGTTTTAGTGGATAAGATGGATCTAACCAATGAAAAATGGTAAATAGATTTTAAATTGTGTCTTTCTGTAATCCCTGGAAGCTACTTTATCGTTTTTCTGTTTCCAGACGTGTTTTCTCTGGTCGGTCGTACCTTACTGTGAGCGTAGATGGCCGAGCCCAGCAGCTTCCACGTGCCGCCTCTCCGGTCCATGCGCAGCATGCGCAGGATCTGCAGGAAGCGCAGGCTGCGCAGCGACGTGGCCAACACGTTGCCCTGGTTACGCACCGCCACCACCGGCACCGAGGCGATCAGCACGAAGATGTCTGCAGCAGAAGGACCAGAGTTTCTGAGAGCTAATGAGTTTGACCCCAACACGTCTTTGTTGGGGAAAAAGAGACAATTTTTCAAGAGATGTTAATCTCTGAAAGGACCTGACATAAAAAACTGATTTAGTTTGATTAATTCACTCTTCTGTTCACAGCTCCTCTTGAGAAAAGAGCCGCTGAAGTCTGCAGAGCTTCTCATTTAAGTCTCAGATAAATCCTAACACAGCTGACAGAAGTGTTAAAATGATGAAGGTTACAGGATGATGGATCCTGCTGCCAACTGTCAGAAAGGAAAGCTGCTCTCTGAATGGAGGAGAGAAACATCGGCTCTCACCGCCTCGTTTACCTGGAAGGTATCCAGATGACACTCTGGGGGATAAAATCAACCTCACAGGTTTGCTTTTATATTGGTTTTTAGTTTAGCTTTCTTAAACTCTCTGGTGAATTTCAGAGCCAATAAAGTAGTTTAAAACATTCGTCCTGGAAATGTTCTTCAGGTGACAGAAGATCGACTTTGTAGTCGTCTTTATGTGTCTCTGAAGGCTCAGCTCTGAGGTTGATATTTTCCATCCTGATTTTTGAGAGTTTAATGTTACTATTAAACTAAAAAGGAGTGAAAAAGCTATTATTAGTATTTTTATCTTATTTTCCCTAATAAACGGAAAGAAAAATGATCAAATTTAATTTAAACTCTTTTTTTCTGTGCAATTTGATCTTTAAAAATCGATGGATCCCAGAGGAAGTCCTGGTCCTTATCGTCTCCTGGTTTCTGCTCAGAGCTGCCAGCTCGCTGAGGACGGACAAATCAGGCGTCTTCAGCTCTTCAGTGGGAGTTTTAAAGGCTGAAGCAAGCAGCTCTAAATCTGGACAAGCTGAGGATGTTTGATGCCTCCAGCAGCTTCAGGCATCCTGACTGCCACAGAGAGTGAAGGACAGCCTCTTCCAGGGAGGATTTCTGGCCAATTACTGGAAATTTATTCTGAAAAGCTGCTGGTTTGTTCAGGGCAGCTGACAAAGCTCCTGTCAGCCTGACTCACTCTGCCTGCACGGTGCATTTACGAATGTTTTCACCCTTTTCTCTGAAATAATCATCATTGTGTTTCTTTCAGCTTTATAAATGACTTCCTGAGCCTTTAATTTTATCTGTAAGCATTAACATATTTATGATTCTCCCTGCTTACCCAGAATGCACAGCGGTTTGCGGGCGAACTTCAGCCTCCCCCTCCATCCTTTGTAGCGACAGCAGCAACCAGCCGCCCAGATCCTCAGTGCAAACTCTGCTCCGAATATGAAGATGGCAAACGTTTCCTGCAGAGGAAACAGGCTCACACATCACTCTGTGTGTGTGTGTGTGTGTGTGTGTGTGTGTGTGTGTGTGTGTGTGTGTGTGTGTTTTCTGTGGAGAGACGGAGTCGTTCTCACCAGTATGACCAGCCAGTGTGCAGAATCCTTCTCATGTTCCCTGAATGTGGTCAGTATGGCCAGAATCAAACATCCCAGAACGATCAGAAACCTGCAGAGAAAAGAAAAAACTGATCAGACAACAAAACGGTTCCAAAAATTACAAATTATCTGGAGGATAAATCAGCAGAAAACCAGCAAGAATTCAGCCAAACAGCGAGTTCGTTGCTGCTGCCACTAGAGGGCACCGTTTCCTCTTAAGACGACAACCAGCTTCGGTTTTTAGACTCTGCACGTTGCTGCCCCCTGGCGTCAGCTGTAAAAACAGCAATAAATAAAACCGACCAGTTCTTCAAACTGAGACCCGAGCAGGACGATCCATTTAAGGCACCAAACATCCATCAGAGAGACGATGACAACCAGCACGACCCGACTGCAGGTTTTCCAGTTTAACCAGCAAAGATCAGCCTGAACTGAATTTATTTAACGGTTTAATGAGAGGAACAAGCAGCAAAAACAACTAAATGAATAAAAACATGCAGTGAAAAACAAGCAAAGCCTTCCTGGGGATTAATGATGAAACCAATAACAGTTTTATGATTCGGGTCAAATAACAGAATATTTTACCAAATTAATAAACTTCTCATTTATCCCACAGGGAAGTTAAATATGGGCACATGGTGATGCTGAGGGAAGGAGGGATCTCCTGTAGCAGTCAGTCTCGCAACAAATCTTAAAAGGCCTCTGACTGAAGATTGTTGCTGAGTGAAATGCTAAAAGGTTAATCATAACAACTGTCCAAAAGTAAATAAGAGCAAAAATCTTTCCAGCTTCCCAGAATCCAAAACCAGAGGGAACAATTTCCCAAACAGCCAGTGAACGATGACGGGAACATTCCCTAAACTGAACGGATGTGTTTGATCCAGATCCAAAATATTAAAATGATTAACAAAATCCTCCCGGGGTTGTTTACATCTCAAGCTGCTGCCGCTGTGAGCTGGACCAACCCAAACTGTAACGCCGAGGCTCCTTCATTACCTTCCTGTTGGACAAATAAACGCAGCGCAGGGTCCCATCTGTGCTGTGATTTCAACCTGGGCCGTCCTGCAGAGAGCCAGCCGCCAGGACAGAAACCTCCTTCCCATCTTTTCCCTCCGCCACGCTCAGTAAGGAGCGGAGGCGGAGGACGGACACTCAGAGGGAAACACTTCCTGTCCGTCTCTGACACAACAGACGAGGAACGAATGTTTTTCATCCCAGCAAGACAAAAAGTCCAAGAGTCTCAGTTCACGGCCTCAACAAAGATCAGCACGATTTCTGAATCTGTCAGCAAATAAAGCAAAGAGACACTTAAAACTTGAAAGACAAATGATAAATTAAACTACACTACAATCAAATTGGTTCAGATAAGTTAAAATCAGCTAAATGAAGATGAACAAAGCAAAGAAACAAAATAAGCTGAGATGATGTAAAGTAATGCAAAAAGTAGGTTAAAACAAAATCTCCAAATTAGCCAACATATAATAAACGTAAACTAAACAGAGATCATACAAAAAAGGCTAAACTTAAACTCAGCTGTTACTCTAAAATGAAATAATGTACAATATTACAACATCTAATTTTGTCTATTTATGATCACAGATCTGGTTTCGTCCCTCAATTGATCAACAAATCCTCAAAATGTTCAGCTACTGGACCGAAAACAAGAATTAGCCACAGCTTTCTGTGCTCTAAGTGTTCGGCCCATCCTCTATAACTCACTTTACATTCGTTAGCGCCGCGGAGGCCCGGTTCTGATGGGGCTCCCCGGCCCAGATGGGTCCCTGGAGGATCCCTAACAAACAATTTATGGCTGAGATTCAATACAGTGAGTGCAGACTCTGCATGTCTGACGGATAAATCCCTCAGATATATGCAAATAGCGGAGAGAACGGAGCAGAGCAGCGGCAGCGGCTGCAGACAGAAGTTAAAGAGTGTGACATTTATTAGAGCCACTGGGGGGTTTTTATATCTGACATGCTGGAAAAACAACCAAACTTCTGCTTCATCAGCAAATCTGGCTGCTAAACTGACACAGTTAAAAAACCCAACAAGCCCAGAGCCTTCACACAACATTTACTGCTTTTAACAGCCCAAAGATTTATGATGTGGATGTTTTGTCAAAACATTTAGAAATGGTTATCCTTTAATTGCGTTTCTCTGGATACTTTTCCAGAGAAAACGCCTCCTAGTGGTCAGTTTGTCTCTGTGGGTTTTGATGAGTTATTGCTCTGCCTCCCGTTGGTCAGAGGTTGGACTTCAGGTTAGATTTGCAGCTGTTTGAAGCGAAGCCAGCAGAAACCGCCGTTCAGATTCACACTCTGGTCAGAGAGCTGCTGACCCTGCAGGACAGTTTCACTCAGCGGCTGGACGAACCGCGAGTCAGGAAATAATGCAGCTCAGCAGCTTCACTGACGCGCAATTATGAGAAAAATGCTGCCGAGTCACAAACCAGGAGATCCTCAGACACTTAAAGAAACCCATGGAAGATCACATCCAACGTAAAATCTGTTCTACTCTGAATTATTCAGTATTTGTAAAGCAACGTTTCTGATGATATGTCGGGTGATTTACATCCAATCCTTCATTTCGGAGAGATTTCCTCCACATTCAGGCTGTTCCACACTAAAGCTGAGGTGGAAACAAAACTGATCCAGAAACGTCACACTGCCTGCTTGTCTCTGTGGAACGTGAGACAAATTATCTGTTCCAGAAAAAAACGTGGAAATTTCTGAGTTTGAAAAATCAAGAATTGGCTAGAAAAAACTTTTTGCAATAAACTTCAGAAATCTGAGGAAAAAACATGGAGATGTTCTGAGTTTGAAAAGTGGAAGGTTTTCCACTTCTTTTTCCATTAGAGTTTTTTTCTTGCAAATTTGCAACTTTTCAAAGATTCCAGGTTTTTTTCTAATCTTTGTCTTTTTTTCTACAAAATTTCTGACTTTAATCTCAAAACTTGAGTTTTATTTTTTGTGGCACATTTTTGACTTTTCAAACCAGAAATGTTTTTGGTTTTTCTAGAAATTTCCTGAGATTCTTTTGGTGGAAAATTAGTTTTTTTCTAACTGTCGAACTATCCCATCTTTAGTATCGTTATTTTCTAAACGTATCCAGATGTTTGGTGTCTAAACATCTGGACTTTCTGCTGATGTGGAGAAAGCAGCTCCTCAAACATGAAAAGGTCTTTTTTAAATCCAAACACTGAACAGTTTCACAACCCAGAGCTTTCAGAAGAGCCTCTGCAGATCCGTCAGCCGTTTAAAATAACCAACACTTCCCCTGGTTTCCTCTGCAGGAGAAGCCAGCCCACAGACTGACCTCTGACCCCAGCCTCCATTTACTGGTCTTACATGTGGAGTTGTCTCAAAGTGATTTAAGACGGGCAGGACCGTCACTGACACTTTTGAATTATTACTTCAGAGAAATGGATGCGGATTTGACCAGCAGACTCCAGAACAGAGTTTCACCTCCGTTACTGAGGACGTTCAGCCTGATCAGTCACTCCTAAAGGGCGTCTGTCGCTCATCAATCAACGGCGTTCCTCCGACCCGCAGCTCATCCATCAATCAGCCGAGTTCGTCTGCCCAACTCTGAAGTTATTAACAGAACCGAAGACGTTTTGATGAAAAATCACTGGGTCTCACATGAGGGAGAGGATCTGAGTCTGTCTGTGTTTACAGGAGGGATGAAATCAGACGGGTTGACCTGGTTTCTAAGCAGCAACTTATTGTTGCCTGCAGGGAGAGAGAGAGCAACACCGACCAGCTGCCTGAGAGCGATAGTGGAAAATTAGAATAAATGTGAAGCATTAATGATGCAAGAAGGAGGTCAGGAAGGAAAATCAGAGCCGAAATTCTGCTTCCAACGTCGCAAAGCGTGAAGAGAGCTACAGGTGGGATGGGTGCCTGTTAGCTTAACTATTAGCAAAAACACCACAGTTGTGGATAATTATAATGTGTGATGCTGCTGAGTGAGGCTACGAGTTTCATATGAATTATTAATCACCCATCAGACGTTCTAGGGTTCAGGGTTCCCATGTCGTCCGCCCCTTCTTTTCACAGCTCAGAGGACTACATGCAGTCCTCTGCTTCAGATGCTTCAGCTCGTGTCGCTTTGCAGGTTTTCAGCTGTTTTTGTGCCATAATCGCACATTTAGATGAGACTCTATGTACAGTTTGTACCTTCAACAGTTCCCAGCTGCGTTATTCAGCACCAAGCTCTCGTCCGGGCCGAGTTTCCGATGGGCTGGCCTGCCAAAGGCTGGGATTTGTCACCTGAGTGCCCTCGAGGCCGAGGCAGCCATTACTGGCTTGGCAGGAGGAGGTGTCAGCAATCAGTGTCAGGCGTCCAGCAGAGCTGTTCATTAGCACGAGGACTGCTCTCGCCTCACTGACTCTGACGTCTGTCGCCTTGTCCCTCCGTCTGGGCTGATGGAAAGGGGTTTGCTTTGTCACATTCAGCAGCTCATTTAGTCTGCAGCAGCAGCATTCAGGCTCTCCAAAGACTAAAAGGTCAACATGGAGAAGTGGGACTCCTGGACGCAGTGATGTGATTCGACTCTGGACGACTTAATGCGTCTTTAATAATTAGCAATTGAGAAATAATTTCCACCGAAAGCCTCTATTTTATAGGATAACTGGCTGCAGAAACTGTGAGAAGCAGAAAATCCTCTTAACTGCACGTTTTACAATAAAGACATGAAATCTTTTCACTTTTTACGAGATATAAAGGATGCACATATGCTAATTGTTAAAGGCTCTTACAGGGTATCGCCAGGCTTACTGAGGGCTTTATGTTTGGGACACGGGTTACCTACGTACGTTCTGAGGTACAGACACAGGATGGGAACCCGGGAGGAAGACAGGCGATGAAGTGAAGGGGCGTCTGATCAGCCAGTGTCTCTGTTACTCATCGTATCATTTAAACACACAAACAGCTGCTAAATACATAAAATGCAGAGTAGAAACAATTTATCCACCATTACTTCCTCTAGTGTAGCTCCATATGCATCCCACATAGAGCACTGGACCGCTTTATGCTGCAGGGAACCTGCAGGGAGCGGCTGGATTAAGA